GGGGGGGAGAGGGGAGGAGGGCGGGGAGAGGGGAGGAGGGGGGGGGAGTGGGGAGGATGGGGGGAGAGGGGAAGAGGGGGGGAGAGGGGAGGAGGGGGGGGGAGGGGAGGATGGGGGGAGAGGGGAAGAGGGGGGGAGAGGGGATGAGGGGGGAGAGGGGAGGAGGGGGGGGAGAGGGGAGGAGGGGGGGAGAGGGGAGGAGGGGGGAAAGGGGAGGAGGGGGAGAGGGGAGGAGGGGGGGAGAGGGGAGGAGGGGGAGAGGGGAGGAGGGGGGAGAGGGGAGGAGGGGGGGAGAGGGGAGGAGGGGGGGAGAGGGGAGGATGGGGGGAGAGGGGAGGAGGGGGAGAGGGGAGGAGGGGGGAGAGGGGAGGAGGGGGGGAGAGGGGAGGAGGGGGGAGAGGGGAGGAGGGGGGGGAGAGGGGAGGAGGGGGGAGAGGGGAGGAGGGGGGGGGAGGATGGGGGGGGGGGCTGCACGGCCCGCACAGACAGACGGGCGGAACGATCACGGGGAGATAATTTTGCTGCTTGAAATATTTCCACGCGATTGAGCCACTTTGTTGAGCTATCATTTGTGGCCACTTCTGAAAAATGAGTTAATAGCTCAGTAGGCTTTACCTGGTAAGATAAAAAAAATTGTTCCATTTGTGTTTGCTTTCAAGTAATTTGTTTACCTTATTTTGCACTCCCATCGTGTTTTTATAGTGTTGTTGTTGTAACGTTCTGATCCCACCCCTACTGGACATCTGTAGCAAACGGCTTTAAAACTCAGCATTCCTCCACTCTAAACTCTGATTCTGAAATGCGCAACGGACGGACAGACTCCCTCCCCCCCCCCATTACCTCGCGAATGTGCTCTGAAGCAGCAAGATAAGTGCATCGTTAGTTTTTCTTTCTCACCACACATACCTACACAAGGAGAGAATCAAACCAGGTCGCCACGTGGGTTCAAATGTGCCATTCGAATTGTGATATAAACGCGAAACCCGCTGGAGTTTATCGCAATGGTGCATCTTTGAACAACAAAGCGAGGCGCCTACAAATTAAAGATGGCCACCGTTTGCTTCCAAGATGGCCGTCATGTTTTGGTGGCGGCCATTTTTTATTTTGGCGACCATCTTTGAATCCTTTGTTGCTAATCTTGTGTTCGTTTCATATTCAGTGATCCCTAGAAGACAGTGCTTGTCGATTTTGGTAAGCTCTACCAATTACCGATACGGCTGTTATTCACAATGTGCTCCAGTAAGTCCCGGATTGGATTGTGTCAGCATTTGAAGGATTATTCACGTTTCTACGCTCCACTAATCGGGGCTGTTGTACAACGGGTACAACAACAAAAAATGCGTTGGAAAAACTCGCACAGCTTCTACAGATGTGGGTCGTCACACCGGCGTGGTTGCTACCGTGTGTAATGAGATCATTGTACTTGTTTTTTTTTGAAACCTTAAATTAAATTGAGGGCGAATTTGAGCGCGATTTTACCCCCTCGCTAAATGAAGGACCAAATGGCTTCGCTGGCGAGAGCAGAACTGAACATGGTAGATTTGGAATGTATTTATTTCACATCCTCTTATCCCCCTGCAGCACCACAGACTCGTGAAGAGTCCGCGGAGACAATTAATGAGACAGCTGTAATCTTGTAGCTACACACAGGGGCAATTCGAACAACTTTGAAGCCTCGTTGGGTAATTCATCAATTAATCAATCATTTGATGTATTCATTATTTAAATAATAATAATAATAATAAATGCAACCATTTAAATTATGGCCAGCAGTTGGAGAAACATAAAGGAGCCGGAACATCTACCACGTGTCTGGGTTAAGAAGTCATTGTTTTTTTCTTACCTTCAGGGACATCACAGAACCACGGTTGAAAGTCAGAAACGAGCGGCGGACGCAATTGCTCCACGATTTGATAACGGGACCGTGCCAGAGCTGCTGCTTGCTGCTGCTGCTGCTGGAGACTGTTTCATTTTTACACGAAGGCTTTCACGACCAATATTATAATTCGGGATTTTTGTTTTGGGGGGGGAGGGGTTAGGTCGCCCTAAACTCCTCCACCACCCGGCGCGGACAATTTAATGATAGTGTTTCGTGAATCGAATTGGGCACATTTGATTCACGTGACAATTATATAATTTTTAACTGGCTGGTGTCGGGTGGAGGAGGGTTTACGACACACACGACCTAAGCCAACAAAAAAATACAGATTTGAGTCTTTCATATCGATATATTTTAACAACTTTTCTCGGACAAATGCTCACAATCCATTGAACTAATGCAATGATACATTTAAGGACAATATACCACTGTAACATAACAACGTATAAAATCATTTGATAATTCAGATAGTGGATTAATGTCTCCCTCCCTCCATCCCACGCCGTGTTGGTCAATAGGGGGGGGGGGTGGTGGGAAGGTAGTTTTGAGCATCCTTCACCACGCTGGTCATTGCAGGTTGGTGAAAAGCGAGAGGGTGGGAGGGGTGTTGAGACAGGATCGGTTCTAATATTAGTGGTCGCCTGGAATCTAACTGAGGAGGTCCAGGTTCAGAGCGCATGTGCCCTAATCAATGCACCCACCACTCGACCCGCAATACAATACAGCAAGGCCGTAGCCATGGCGTCAACATTGGGGGAGACTAAATCTTCCAGGTTGTCTGGGGGTCTCAACCCAGAAAAATATCTAAATTTGAAAAACGAATTTCCTGCCTAAAATATAAAAAAATTCACTAACATATGGGATGGACTTTTAATTTATTTTTTTACATTATTTTCTAATTGTGTATTGTATTACATTGCTCTGTTTTTACTTTTTTACCATTTCTTGTTTCATTGTATGTAATGGCAGAGATTAGGGATTAATAAAGTACAACCGTAACCAAAATCATATAAACGTAAATCTATGCATTGATTTATATGAAGACAAGTCCAGATATTGTGGCCAAGGTTTAGCAAATTGTTATTTTTACTTACATAGCATAGCAATTATTTTTTTAATAGCAATATATTGGGGGGGGGGGTGGATTTTGAGCATATTTGAATATTGGGGGGGATGTGTCCCCTCCCAATAAATATTATAATTACGGCCTTGCAATACAGTGCAACAATTACGATGATTGCCCAAGCTGTTATTTGCCTGAAATTGCCAGTGTAATTGAAAGCAAAGTTATCAATCTATTGCCATTTTAAATAACAGCCGTGTCAGTGTGCCGCATATTGTGCATGCATTGTAATTATCCGCTTCTGAAGCTCATGGTCCAACCCTCGACCGCACCTACTGCACAATGCATGGCAGCAGAATGCGGATGCTACCTGATGCACGAATGGAAAATTAAAAACTCTCTAGCAGTGTGCGACTGTCGCTATCCAGAACAGAGGCTACACAACGTATAACGACGCAATGCCCCCCGATCCATAAAGAAGGGGACATCACAGCGTCCATACACTCCGATGCTACTGACGTTAGTGATCTGAGTTTGCCCACGTCATTGTGAAACTGTCAGTTGTTGCGCCTGACGCCCCCGTCTCTCTTTCTCCCGTATGGACACGGGATGAGTCGCATCGATACGGCGATGTCTAGGTTCTATACGTCAAGCTGCTGGATTTCACGCACAGAGATTCGTAGACTCGTACAGAGACCAATAGACGCACACAGGGACCCATAGACTCGCACAAAGAGTCATAGACTCGCACAGAGAGTCATAGACTCGTGCAGAGAACCATAGGCTCACACAGACCCATAGACTCACACAGATATCCATAGACTCACGCAGGGACCCATAGACTTGCACAGACCCATAGACTCGCACAGACCCATAGACTCGCACAGATATCCATAGACTCGCACACAGACCCATAGACTCGCACAAGGATCCATTGACTCGCACAGAGATCCATAGACTCGCACACAGACCCATAGACTCGCACACAGACCCATAGACTCGCACAAGGATCCATAGACTTGCACACAGACCCATAGACTCGCACAAGGATTCATTGACTCGCACAGAGATCTATATACTCGCACATGCTTCGTCACTTTATGAACCACAGCAAGAAAAGAAAAAAATCCCCACTTCAGCAAACATTTCTTGCTGTGTCATTTCCCACCTGATGATGATTGCTTGTGTTGCAATCAAAACGTCGTGATTTAATTTATTTTATTTTATACCTACGCGACTTTACCGATAGAACAAAAAAGTATGGGGGGGGGGTATATGACTGCATGTCTATTCTCAATGCCGCACACGCACACAGACACAAATGGTCACACGCAAGGACAAAGACGCTGCTGTTGACAATGATGCAGACACGTCCAGAAAGACAAACGTTGCCCCGCACAGCCTCAACAAACGACTGCGAAAAGTGCGGCGGCCGGCACCACGCCCGGCCAGCTTTGTCTCCCCAGTGCCGATGTTTACACACCGCACCAGGTGCTTCTTTGAGGCTGAGTCGACCTAGGGGGTGGTGGGAATGGAACTCAGGTCGCCGCTCCCCGCACACGCGGACAGCCTCGACTGACGCGGACACTCCGCGCGTGCCGACACACACGGCAGCTGATAGAGCGAGACCGACCCAGTGACACGCAATCCATGTTAACAGAAAGCGTTGCCATGGGAGCACGTAGAGTCTTCATTAAAAATGCAACGTTGCATCTTGAGGCGTACATCGCGCCTCCAGCAGTGCACCCCCCCCCCCCCCGTGCCCCCCTCCATCCCAGGCCCCCCCGATCGAGATCGACGTCTCATGAAATATTCAGTCTGCCCATAGTCGCCTCGACCCCCCAGCGAAGACCGTGCGAGTCTCAATCCTCCATCCCCCCCCACCCCATCCCCTTTCCACCCCCCATGTTCGTCTATCTCAGCCTCACACCCAAGGTGTAAAGTGTAACCTACTTCCTCTCCGAGTGCAGCATTTTAAATTTTAATTCGCCCACATTCTCAGCAGGAGATTCGGCTGAAACCACGTGGGTGTGTGGGGGGTCTGAGCGAGGAATGATGGTTCAGGAAGCACGGACGGAGAGACGGACCCGCACACACAGACGGTGACACGCGGATGCGAGCAGCCAGACGGACAGTCCGAGCAAGGGGCAGAGAAGCAGAGAGACAGGCGAGGCGGGCGGTTAAAGAGGCACATGCAGGTGATTGAAACGGGCCGGATCGCTCCGGAAATCTGTGGATGGGAGTGAGCATTTGAACCCTCTGACTGCGTTCCGGAAAGAATCAAAGATTCGTATTTGTATTTATTTATTTATTTGACTCACAGATAGACCCCCCCGCCCGCCACCCTAGACTAACAGAGAGACCCACAGACACGCTCAAAGACTCACAGACACGCACAGAGACCCACAGACACGCACAGAGACACACAGACACACACAGAGACCCACAGACACGCACAGAAACCCACAGACACTCAGAGACCCACAGACACGCACAGATACCCACAGACACGCACAGAGACACACAGACACACACAGATACCCACAGACACGCATAGAAACCCACAGACACTCAGAGAGACCCGCAGACACGCACAGAGACCCGCAGACACGCACAGAGACACACAGACACACACAGAGACCCACAAACACGCACAGAAACCCACAGACACTCAGAGACCCACAGACACGCACAGAGACCCACAGACACGCACAGAGACCCACAGACACGCACAAAGACCCACAGACACGCACAGAAACCCACAGACACCCAGAGACCCGCAGACACGCACAGAGACACACAGACACACACAGAGACCCACAGACACGCACAGAGACACACAGACACACACAGAGACCCACAGACACGCACATACATCCACAGACACTCAGAGACCCACAGACACGCACAGAGACCCGCAGACACGCACAGAGACACACAGACACACACAGAGACCCACAGACACGCACAGAGACCCCCAGACGCGCACAGAGACCCAACTCCTCGTCCTCCTCTAGTGGGGGAATCATTTATGAGTTCTCCCAGTAATTTCGTCTCATTCCCAGCCCTGGTCACTATCGAGTAATATCGATTCTTCACCTCACGGCGCGTGCATGTCTGCGTGTGTGAGGATCAATGCGGGGAGAAGCTTGCCCAGTGGTTCGCGCACCGCGCTACGAACACGGCGACCCGAGTTCGAATCCCGCTCGCCGTGATAACAGTGACGAATATTCGAACCGGTCCTGAGCCTCCCCAAGGTTGACTTAGCATTAAATGAGCACCTAAGGCGGTGTGTAAACATTGGAACTGGGGAGACGAAGGCGACCTGGCGTGGTTGGTGGCCCACCCACCCCTTCGTGTGCCGGTGACGGACTTCGTCGGTGCTACTCGCCGACAGCACTGTCCCCAACAGGCTGTTAAAGGCTAGACGGGTGGAACGTTGTCTTTGTGTTCTGTAAGGATCCGATGTTTTCCGATTTGATTGTGCAGAGTGCGTTCGCGTGACGCCCGCCAGCCACTAGAGGTCACTGCAAAGACCTCAACCTGGGGCAGCCACGACCGTCCACCCCGGTAAGATTTCCACGTTTATATTTTGTTTTTATTTAATACAATTAAAGTATTTATATCGGGGCGGCGAGCAGGGCATCGCCACTGTGTTAGGAGGCGAGGACAGGCCCGCGCGGAAGGAGATATCATAGAACTACTTCCCGAGATTGCTCACCGCAGCATGTCTCAAATTCCAGTCCTCGCGAGCCTCCCACGAGACGAATTGTCGTCGTTCTGAACATCGTCAGGTGCGACTTAATTTTGTATTTGACAATAAAACATTGGTTATTATCACGAAAAAGGTGGGCCCGCAGGGGATGGTATGGGGGTGAACAGGGGGAGAGAGAAAGGGAGAGGGGGAGAGTGAATTGGGTGTATGGCGACGAGTCGAGGTTGACGGACACTGTTATTGACAATGCGTTGCGTCTTATTTGTTCTAGGATGACACATTGTGTCATAATATTGACGCCAACGAGTAAGGCTGCGTCGCCGCCGCCGCCGCCGCCGTCGCACCATAGTTGCTCACTCTCGTCGAGAAACCCGAGAGACACACAGAGAAAGAGAGAGAGAGGACGACCCAGAGGCACCAGGAGGAGGAACAACGGGGTGTAGGAGCAACAGCCACCCTTCCAGCAGTGATCCACTAACCCCAGGATGCGTCCACAGCGCTGGATTACAGGCCACGCGGGTAGCCAACACGGCCCGGTATCCAAAGACGACGAAGACTTAGCATATCATACTCGTTGGTTCTTTCGGTAAAGTCATGTAGATGAAAATTAAAAATAATAGTAAAAAGAATAAAATGAAAATATTCTTAGGTTGTTTTACTTGATACAGCTGTCGGGCTGTGACGGTTCCACCTGAAGACGGAAGCTTGTGTTGCCTCCGAAACGTCGTGATTTTTATTTTATTTTACTTTGATTAATTAAAAATTTTACCTACGTGACTTTACCGAAAAAAACCTAAGAATATGAATCCTTGCAGTCACGAAAGCTTCAAATCTAAAATGAAAAGAGCTCAATTAAATCACGACGACCTTATTGTCGCGGCATCTCTTGAGGAAGGTTATCGACTCGATTAGCCGTGACTTCTTGTCCCGCTGTCTGTTTAAAGCTCTAACAGATCAGTGGAATTCCTCCCCGGTTAATTCTAGATTTGGAGTTTTCGTGACTGCAAGGATCCAAACTTCAAATCTAGAACTTAACGGATTTGTGGAGCAAGTGCTGTGAGGGAGCAACCTTTGATGGCCTGCCACGGCACGCGAGGCGATGGGTGGCCAGCACCACGCCCGGCCGCCTTTGTCTCCCTAATGACGAAGCTTACACACCCCGCACCAGGTTGTCATTGTTGTAGGCCGACAAAGGGGAAAACCTCAGACCGGTTCAGATAATATCATCGTGAACGGTGTTGGCCGTGAGTTGGGAATCGAACTCGGCTCTCCCGAGTTTGTAGTCGCTTCGCCACTGCCCGGTGTCCACACGCGGCGGCCAGAGCCGGATTGTCCTCGTAGAAAAAGTAGCTACGACATATGTAGTAGCTACTACATATGTAGCTACTAAATATGTAGTAGCTACGGGCCCCGCTCTTTCAAGGGCCCCGCGCTAAACGCTTTCAAGCTATCAATTCCGGTTGATTGATTCTGCACTTGCTCTATTACTATAGTACTATACCGCCTTCGACTTTTACGAACGACTGGGTGTTTAAGGTTAGCGATTTGTCGTATTGTCTGGCTGTGGAGCAAATAAAAAAATACTTTACTATACAAGTAAAAAAATTGCGTTTTAATATTTAAGTATAATATTTATTTAGGGCCCCTTTATAACATTTGCTACAGGCCCCGAACTAGTTTCATTCGGCGGGGGGGGGGTGTAGCGGGGGGGGGGGCTCCAGAGAAATACTCGTCGTGTGACAGTAAAACGATATTTTTTATTAATACTCGGGAGCTGGAATTTGCTCAAAGAAAGTGTAGTAAAAAAAAACCTCAAACTTAATGATATTTTTTTTGTACAACATTGGCTAGGCGGCTGAGACCACGACGACTATCGCCTCGCGCTGCACTCGGATTTCTGCTGTTTAATAACTTGGCGGCTAAGACCCGAACATTTGAAAAAAAAAATCCTTCTCCTGGATCTGTGAGCGCTCTCTGACTCCCCTCCCCCACCCACCCACCTCCACTCGCTCAGCCACGCGGACACCTCTCACATTTCACATTTAAATAACGCGCCGCCGCTCCGTGAACATCCATCGGGGTCGGTTTCATATAGCAGCGGCGGCAGCCGACAGATGGAGTTGATGCCTAAAGCGTGGGGGGAGGGCGAGGTGGTGGATGGGGGGCGGAGGGAGGGGAGTGAGAGGGAACGAGAGACCCAGGCTGAGGAATAGACGCCGCAGATTATACCCCTACACACGAGTAAAACATACATATGAACCCCCGAGGTACAGAATTCGCTTTATTTGACTAATTCTTATATTAAGTGAAGTTTTTTTTTTTGCTTTGTTCGGTAATTGTGCGTTAAATGCCCTTAAGGAAGTCGCAACGTGGACTGAACCGTCACGCCACGAAACCTGATGATCTTGCGTTTATTGCAACCAAAAGTGACGGTGGAGGGGGGAGGATGGAGGGGGGCGCATCGTGGCGAGGAGATGGTGATGATGGGCGCATACTTGGCACTTCACGACGGAGTGGCAGCAGCAGCAGCAGCATCAGCAGCTCGGGAGTAACGTCCAACGCAGAGATGGAGCCATGAAATCCGCACACGCGCGGGGAGCTGTAGCGGGTGGACGTATGTTCATAGCTTCAAAGAGTCAGAGAGTTTCCGCTTGTTCGCCATCATTGGAATCTTCTCCAGGTGATCTGCAGAGTCGGGCGGCACGACATTTCTTGTGGCATTGTTGCAAATATCTCAGAAGTGTTTAACCACAAGGGAGATAACATTCGAAGTTGGTATTCAGGAACCACACTTGCCACGCTGCCATCGCGCGGATGACCCACCTCGCAGCCCAGCCAGGGTCACAGAGCGCGTTACACATCTTACACTCCCACGGCAGCCCTGGCCACCACGGGCGTGCATAGCCACCGTGAACCTCAACGATGACACGTTATACTGGTAGGAACCACCTGGTTCCACCAGCCCACAGGGGATTATTGTGTCCGTCCGTTCGCCTGTCGTGCATCCAAACATGGGAGGGGTGGGGCTGGGTGGAGAGGGGAGGGTGGGGAGGCGCTGGGTGGGGAGGGGCTGGTCACCTCGTGGTGCCCTTATAAAACTCAACGTTTAACCTACTCACGCCGGCTTGTGCCCGCCCTCACAGTCGGCCATATTTGCGGAATACACCACGCCGCCGTTGACCCTGGCCATTGACCGAGCAACCCAACGTTCCTACCAGCTCCCTCCGCAGGAATGTGTTAGTCCCGCACACTCATTGCGGTGTACGGCAGGCACACTTATAAATTACTATTCTTTACTACCCGGCTTCGCCCGGGACTTGGATTCACCACGCTCGGCCGCCTTTGTCTCCCCAGTGGCGATGTTCACACAGCACACCAGTTACTCGTTTGAGGCTGAGTCGACCTAGGGGAGGCCAAGGACCGGTTCAAATAATCGTCACCGGTGGTGGCCGTGAGCGGGAATCGAACTCGGGTCGCCGGGTTCGTAGCGCAGCGCGCTACCTGCTACACTACAATGCGTTACGCTTCCACACGCGCGGGTCACGTGACAGATTTGACGTAATAATTTTGACGTATCATTTTTTCATGGTGTACACTCTGGAAAGTACCCACATGGCAAATTTCAAGTTTGTTGTATGTCGGGAAGTACGCTAAACATTTTGAACAGACACACATAATCACAACTTTGCCTTTTATATATATATGGATGGATATATATATATCAAAATCCATGATTAAAGCAAAAATATAATTGCAGCCCCGTGAGGTTTTGTGTCGTAAGGAGTTTTAAAAAAGTTGGCTCAAACTGTTGACGTTTTAGGGGAATTACCGCCGCCGCAGACTCGACTCGAGTAAGTAATGACTCGTTAGAATCGTTGCGCGAAAGCGGGGCCTGGGTGTTGCGGGAATTTGCGCGTCTAAATTATTCAGACACGAAGGGCTTTCACCATCGCTCGTGGGCAATTCGACACGCGGACTCATTTTTTGGCGTGATTTTCTCCTGTCCGTCAAACATTCCAGACAGCCACTCATTAATTAATTACGCTTCCCAACCCGAACCCCACCCCTCCCTCCGCCTAACACCCCCCCCCCGCTCCACACAATCACCCACCCTGCGATTTTCCCCTTCGCAACATTTTGCCAGAATTACATTTGTATATGCAAACTTCTAAGAGGAAGACATCAGCTGCCGAAACATGCATTTCTTATTAAATAGGGTTAACTGCGGCAAAAAAAAAAATACCACATCGCAAGATGTCTCCCGTAATTTGAAGGAAACCTATCTGGACTCTCGTTTCACTTTTGGTTAACGTCTCATGTGCTTGAACAAGCCAAGCTCCTGCCGGTTTGTCAGTGAAATTCCACGGTTAAATCCCAGCACTCGGCGCTAACGGCTAATAGATTTAATCTTCTCGTCTCATCATGTGTCACTGGCGCTGCAACTAATGCGATTTAAATTTGACAATAGCTGCTGCGTGACTCAGGAGCTTCATGATGGCCGTGTCAAGAGATAATTCTTCTTGCGTTATGACGTTAAATTAAATTTCCAAAAATAGTTTGCGTGGGAAAAAATATATATATCCGTCGAAAGGTTTTTTTTTCTCCCTCAAACACGCCGACACACGTGGGGGGTGGGTGGGAGTGTGGGGGGTTACACGCACTGCCCCGCGCGAGGTTTCCGAATGGATTCTCCTCTCCCCGATATCGCCTCTGCAATGGAGTGTGTGGAGCAGTGACAGAAGTTGATGCTTGAACTACCGACACCAAAAATGGCTTTTCGGTACCACGCACGGTGACAAATGCTAACAACGATGCTCTCGAATCAATTTCGCTCTAGATTCCGAATATATATGATAGCAATAATGCGGCGGTAGCTTTAATGAGATAATTGTGATCATAGGAGGGTGCTATACAAGCTTTGATAGATGTCATGGGGTGCGGGGTGACATTCCTACGTGAGATGAAACGTCTTCGAAGGAATCAGATGCTGTGCACGAAGGGCTTTCTGCCTTGGGTGAATATCGCCCATGGTAGAGTCTCGTCGCGTGTGATACCCCAGGTGGTACCGATGACCTGTAGCGTGGAGGGAGCGGTGGTGCAGCGGTTAGCGTGCACACGGGAGACTCGAAGTGCAGTGGAGCAGTACCCTTTGCTACACTTCCCTCTGGGGCCGTCCATAAATGACGTCACGCACCTAGTAGGGGGGGGTCAGACATTTGTGACGATGTGTGACGAGGGGGGGGGGGGTTGAAAAATGTGACGTCACATCAAAATGCGCAACTTTAAATAAATATAGACAACACCTTCTACTTAATTAAATATACTTTTTTCAATAAATGTGTTCTCCTTGAACATCAGAGTACAGCGCCACATTAAATACGTATTACAATGATCATATTTTAAAGCGATTTGAAGCATGTCTAATTTTGTTGGGGGGGGGGGGGGCAGAGCTTTGTGACGTCATATTTGAGGGGGGTCTAACGGGGGGGGGGGGGGAGTGGAGTCAAAAATTGCCCAAAATCGCGTGACGTCATTTATGAACGCCCCCTTGGACAAATGCTGCTTGATAATATTGGCCGTGAAAGCCTTTACAACGCTGTACGTACGCCGATGGGCTGAAACCCAAAGTAAAACGCATGTTGTTTTGTATGTATCTATCTATCTGTAGGGAAACAGCATAGCATATCTCGTACCTGCGTACACGAGGAGGACGCTTGCCCTCTCAGAGTCTCAGAGCCTCCCACAACTCGCATTAAAAAAAAAAAACCTCTA